GAATGAGGAGGGTGATCACGGGTTGTTACTAATGCAATTCCTATACCTGTAGTGTCAGTTTCGTTACTAGGAGCTTGGGGTACTGTTTGCTGAGCAATTTGTTCCTTTTGAGCTGTTGGAACTTCATTGATGATCCCCTACAATTCTAGTGAAGAAGAAGGTGGTTGATTTCGACTTCTTTTATTAAATTCTTGGGAAAGTGGTTGACGACTATGTTCTTTATGAGCTTGAGAAGATTGAGGAATAGCAGGTTCATTCAATTGAGTTGTGGAATTGGCTTGGATATTTCGTCGAACGCCTGGTGTGTTCGACACTGCAGAATAATCTTTTTTCAATATTGTAGGAGTTGGTTCGATGAGGTGATGTTTTGGAAGCTCATAGATGTTCTCCACATCTGCAGAAACATTCTCGCATTGGTTTTGGGTGATTTGGACTACCGGAACTCCATTTCCGATCAACTAGTGCTCGCCTGAGAGTTGCAAAAGTTCGGGGACAACGATCGGGGTGGTATAATGGTCTAAATTTTGGTGGAGATCTAGTATTTGACTTGGAGAACAATCTACTTAGCTCGGAATCTCGCAATTTGGTCCAGAATTGATATGGGTAGTTTCTGAAGAACCCAGGCGATTTTTCACTACAGTGGTTTCGCCACCTAATTTGAAATCTGCAGCAGGTGGGGAAAGATAAATGGGATTTACGCATTTTGCTTGACTCTGGTACTGTTCACCAGAATCGCCTGTATGGAGAGCGTTCTTTATGGGCTTTAGGCTTGTCATGTGGTCTCCTTTTTTGTTTTCTCTTTTTTTTTACTTAACTAGTATTTAATTATACCCACAGTTGATAATTAATAATATTAAAATCATTAATATTCCTCTAATTGTATATCTAATTATTTATAAATAGAAAAGTAGCTCAAAAGTCAATCACAAGGTTTTAAATCCGTAATAGAAGTATAAGTTTTATGCACTCAAGGCAAGATTAAAAAAAAATTCTATATTTAGTGTGTGTTTGAACTTTTATAGATTTGAGGAGTGTTACAATCTTTCCTCCTTAAAAACATTCGTCCTCGAATGTTGCTAGGGCCTTATTCTTAAGCTAACAATCATTCCTTAAGTCCTTGAACTTCTTAAGTTTTCTTAGCACTACTCACTTTCCCAAGGGACTTAAAATTTTGGCTAACTCCCTAAATTTTCAAAAATTTCGGTAGTGTCTCCCCTGTAAATTAGACTATCCAAAAAGATATCCCGGTCACCAATACCACAACTACATAAACAACAGCCAAATATACCATAACATGCCATTCATAGGCACCATACGCAACTCATAAACTAATTACTCATACTCCGGCAAGGAGGTACCACAATAACCAACCAAAATCTAAAGCACAACACTTCAGCAAAAAGTAAATAACTTTAATGAATTAAATGTACTATGGCATGGTACTAAATTATTTAATAATTAAATATACTCTGACAGAAACTAAATTACTTCAACAACTAAGTATAATCTAGTAAGGACATAAACACTTGCTAACTTGTATTTAATAAATGAAATATAAATGCCAACCCAAACCTAGGTTCACATACCTTGTTCCTCAAATAAATAAGGATATTTCTTCCTCATATCTTCCTCGACCTCTCACGTAGCCTCTTTTGAATCACTATTACTCCACAAAACTTTTACCGATGCTATATCTTTTGTTCTCAACTTTCTTACTTGCCTATCGAGAATTTCTATAGGTACCTCTTCATAAGTCAAGCCTTATTTAATTTCTATGGTATCAATAGGTATTATATGTGACTCATTATGAATGTACTTTCTAAGCATAGACACATGAATGACAAGATGAACTGAAGACAATTCGACGGGCAACACTAGTTCATAAGCCACTTTTCTCTTCTTTTCTATAATATCATAAGGCCCGATAAACCTAGGACTAAGTTTTCCTTTCTTACCGAACCTCATAATTCCTTTAATTGGTGAAACTTTCAAAAATACCTTGTCACCAACCATGAACTCTAAGTCATGATGCCTCTTGTCAGAATAGGACTTTTGACGACGCTGAGCTGCTTACAGTCTTTCTCTGATTAACTGGACTTTCTCTAAGGCCTCACAAACAAATTCTTGACCAGTCAACGACACCTCTGTCTGTTCAAACCAACCCACTGGAGACCTACATCTTCGCCCATACAACGCTTCATAAAGAGCCATACCAATGCTAGCCTGATAGTTGTTATTGTAAGCAAATTCTATAAGTGGAAAGTGATTATACCAATTACCTCCAAAATCTATAACACATGCTCGCACCATATCTTCGAGAGTTTAAATAGTCCTTTCTATCTGACCATCGGTCTATGGATGGAAAGCGGTGCTCAAATTGACCTTGTAACCTAATATTTTCTGAAATGCCTGCCAAAAATGCACTGTGAATTGAGGGCCTCTATCAGATATGATTGAAACTGGAGTACCATGAAATCAGACTATTTCTTTGATGTACAACTGCGCATACTGCTCTGTGGAATCTGTCATCTTTGCTGGTAGGAAATGGTCAGACTTTGTGAGTTGGTCTACGATAACCCAAATTGAATCATGCTTACGGTATGTGCGAGGCAGACCTACTACGAAATCCATATTAATCATCTTCCATTTCCACTGTGGTATCTCTATATCCTGAGCTAGGCCACTAGGCCTCTGATGCTCGGCTTTGACTTGCTGGAAATTTAAATATTTGGCCACATGATCTACTTACATCTTCATGCCTTTCCACCAATACAACTCTTCCAAGTCCATATACATTTTGGTAGCACCTGGGTGGATAGAGTACCTCGAGCTATGAGCTTCTTCCATTATGGCCTACCTAAGACCATCTACATCAGGCACACATAACCGATCATTCAACTTCAAAACTCCATCACTTCCTAGAGTGAAAGCAGTGATTTCTTTGGTTTTTGACTCCTTCTTTTAACTTCACGTACGGATCTTCGTCTTGCTTATCCTTAATATGCGCAACAAGAGACGATTGCGCTAAGGCATAAGCAATTATACCTCCTTCTTCGGTCTCACACAATCTAATTCCGTCATTTGCCAATTTTTGCATTTCTCGACCCAAAGTTCGCCTTTGTACTTCAAGATGGGCCAAGGCACCCATTGACTTCCTACTAAGTACCATATTAGCTTTTCCCGGGTGATAAAGGATATTGATGTCATAATCCTTCAATAGCTCGAGCCACCTTCTTTGTCTCAAATTTAATTCTTTCTGCTTGAAAATGTACTGGAGGCTTGTGTGATCTGTAAACACTTCAGAATGGTCTCCATAAAGGTAGTGTCACCATATCTTTAATGCAAACGCCACTGCTGCAAGCTCCCAGTCGTGTGTGGGGTAGTTCTTCTCATGATTCTTTAATTGCCTCGAAGCATAAGAAATATTTTCCATCTTGCATAAGAACATAACCAAAACCAACTATGGAGATATCACAATACACTGTGAACCCACCCGAACCTGTCGATAAGGTTAACACAGGTGCAGTGGTCAACCTCTTCTTTAACTCTTGAAAACTCTGCTCACAAGCGTCTGACCACTGGAACTTAACTTCTTTCTGAGTCAACTTAGTTAATGGAGCTGCAAATGAGGAAAATCCTTTACAAACCTTCTATTGTAGCAAGCTAACCCCAAGAAACTCCTGATTTCGATTGGCATTGTCGGCCTTGGCCAGCTCTTGGCTGCTTCTATCTTCTAAGGGTCTACTTTTATGCCTTCATTAGATATAACGTGGCCTAAGAATGCCACTGACTGCAAACAGAACTCACATTTTGAAAACTTGGCATAAAGCTCATTTTCCTTTGAGGTCTGCAAGGCTATCTTGAGGTGCTCTGCATGCTCTTCCTTGTCTTTAGAATATACTAGAAAATCGTTTATAAACACGATAATAAATGTATCAAGGAATGGCTTGAAAACTCTGTTCATGAGGTCCATGAATGCAACTAGAGAATTTGTCAACCCGAAGGATATTACTAGAAATTCATAATGCCTGTAGTGAGTTCTAATGGATGCTTTAGATATATCCTCTTCTCTGATTCTCAATTGATAGTACCCCGACCTCAAGTCTATCTTTGAAAAGTACTTTCCACCCTGAAGTTGATCTCATAAGTCATAAATTCTTGGCAGTGGGTACTTGTTCTTAACGGTAACTTTATTCAACTGCCGATAGTCAACACATATTTTGAAAGACCCATATTTCTTCTTGACAAACAGGACCGGGGCACCCCATGGTGAAACACTCGGCCTGATGAATCCCTTGTTAAGAAGGTCTTTTAACTGTTCTCTTAACTCATTAAGTTATGTTGGAGCCATCCTATAAGAAGGTATAGATACGGGCTGAGTGTCTGGCATGATATCGATGCCAAAGTCTATGATTCTTTCAGGAGGAAGTCCAGGAAGGTCATCTAGGAAAACGTCTGGAAATTCTCTAACAACTGGCACCAACTGAAGAGCTGGTGGTTCTGATTCTGGATTAATGATGTGAGCCAAATAGGTGAGACACCCCTTACCGATCATTCGTTGTGCCTTGAGGTAAGAAATAAACTTACCTATAAGCGATGTTGAACTACCCTTCCACTTTAAGACTTCTTCATTTGGAAAATGGAACTTGACTATCTTAGCACGACAATCTAACTTGGCATAGCAGGAAGACAACCAATCCATACCCATGATCACATCGAAATCCCCCATTTCTAACTCTATAAGATCGGCCTCGGTGCTGCGACCTTAGACTGAAACTATACAACTTCTACAGACTCTTGTGGCTTTCACTGACTCGCCAACTAGAGTAGATACTAGGAAAGGCTCACTAAGTTATTCAGATTCTAGCCTGAGGTTAATTGCAAAGTTTGGAGTCACATACAAAAACATTGAACCTGGATCAATTATGGCATAAGCATTATGTGAGCAAACTAGAAATATACCTATAATAACTTTTGTAGATGCCTCTACACTCTGACGATCAAGTATAGCAAACAAACAGGGTTGTCCCCCCTCCCTGAGTAACTCGATCTGCACCTCTGCCTGCCCCATGCCCGGTCTGATTTTGAGAACCACAAGCCTGAGGTGGTGCCACTGTAGTAGATGAGGAACTAGAAGGACGAGCTGATCCCCCACTGAAATTATGTCGCAACTTTGGGCAGTTTGCCTTTATATGACCAACGTCTTTGCAATGATAGCAACCGTGGAACCCGAGCTTACACTGACCTGAATGTTGCCGCTTACATGTACCACAAAGACCTTGTTGTTGTGAATATTGTTCACATGACTCTGGCTATATGAGGGTGGTGTCCTAAAATTCTGATTCTGGCAAGATTGGTTTCTATAACTCTAAGTACGTCTGAAGGAAGACCCACCACCTGACTGATGACTGGAATGAGCTGGTGCTAATGACCCCTATTGAAGGAGCCCCGATCCCCTTCATCCTTCACTGGGTGTACCACTAAACCCTTCCACTGTCTGGGCTTTCTTGTTATGCTCTTTTTCTTCTCTCCTTTGTTGTCTGTCTCTTTTTAAGTGCTTGGCGAAACCCACAACAGAGGAGAAAGTTGTCATTCCTATAGCTGCAGCTGACGTGTATCCTTAATGTGGTAAGCCAAACCGCCAACAAAACTGTGGATATTTGCTTTTTCTATCTTAACCATGTGAGGAGCATGCTTAGCCAAACTTATGAATTCCATGTTGAACTCTTGCACACTATTATTCCATTGCTTGAGCTGCTTGAACTTTGTAGCCTTAGCTTCCCTATCCTCTTCTGGTATAAAATTAGCCACGAAGGCCTCTTCAAATTCTTCCCAAGTAGGCGGGCCATCATCTTTATCTCTTTCCTTTTTCCACATCTCAAACCAAGCACCAGCCACATCTCTAATCTGGTAGGCAGCCAGCTCCACAACTTCATCATCAAATGCCTTCATCGCTCGGAGGTCTTTCTTGACACCCTCCAACCAAAACATTAGATCTTTATCAACTATAGTACCACAAAACAATGGAGGACTTAGCTTCAAAAATTCATTCACTCTTGAGGACTCAGAATTGTTCTGTCTATTTGGATTGAGGTGGAATCTCAGCTCTTTTCTCGTTATGGTTGGCCATGAAAGCTTTAAACATCTCCATAGCACTACTGAAAACATTAAAAAACTGACCAATCTCTGGAGATATATAATTGTCTTAGCCGGAACTGCTGTTGGGGGTGGCACTGGATCCTAAGGTACTTGCTCATCATGATCCACCCCTTCTTCATGTTCAACCCGGGGGGGTACTTGAACCCCATTTGTAGAGTTACCCTTCCTTTTCTGAGTTGAAGCCTTCTTAGTTCTACCTTGAGCCACAATAGTAGCAATAGTTTCTTGAGCAACATCCTGAGTGTCGGTGTCAGAATTGCGAGTACGAACCATTTTTACGAGTTTTGGAGAAACGAATACATTAGATAATTTCTTATATATCTAAAATAAACCAACTCCAAAATTTTATTCGTAGAAACTACTGAAATACTGCAAAGCTATTATCAAAAGCACATGAATCTTAATCCACCGACTATGTCTATGAAGCCTCTATTGATAAACTGACGCACCGCTCAGGACATGGGATGTCCTGGCCAGTTATCCAAGTAAATAAAGAAATAACTAAATAATGATGACTCAAAGGAGTACTCCATGAACAAAAGCGGAGCTCACCAATAGTACTGGAAATGAGGGAAGTCCTAACCCGTAGCCTGCTCGCCTGCAAAACCAGTTCCTACGTTGTACCGCAGACCAACGCAAGTTCCCAAAGGAGAACATCAGTACCATCCATTGTACTCAGTGAGTCTAATGACAGGGGACGAAACTTTAATAAAATATACATTACAAGCAAAGATTCTAAATGCATGAAAAACATAAATCTTCTACGAACAATTCTAAAAATAATTACATAACAATAATTTATGAATATTCTAAAAGAAATTCTTTTTTTTTTCTTATCTAAAAAAAATACTTCACTTTATGCTTCGGGAGTTCCAACTATCCTGACTTGTTTCTGTCTTAGTCACCTTGTGATCAGAAGGGGTTCGATCCCAACCTGATCGAATAGGACCAATCCACAAGGTGCCACTCGCTTCATGGTTCTCAGCGCTCATTTGTCATACCTTAGCCTGGCTAGACAAATTCTCAGCAACGAGACCCTCGGCTAGTGTGCTCTCTACTTTGGTACAAGTAGTTTCAAGAAGTCAACGCCTTGGTTAGGACCCTCGGCCTAGACGATGACCCCTTCTCAGAATAGAGGATACTCCCAAAAATCTTATCTTTCTAAAACTTCTTCTTGTGGCTTTTCAAGTCTAAATCATGTTTGAAAGTGATCTATCAGTATTGATAATAATATTCTTGAGTGTATGCATAATATAAGCATGATATAAAATTACTCAAAGTATTTTTAAAAGTTCTTTCTAACTCTTGAAACTTTAACATGTAGGACCATGTAATAAAGCATAAAAATATGAAAAATAGATGCTTATACATCTCGAGTAAAATATATAAGCTTTAACTAGAATATACTTAGTCAACATATACTCATTCATTCCAATTACGTACATGTTGACTCTTTAAAGCATTTTATCAAACACTTTGTGGTCATATTTTTGTGAGTAGAACCACTTTAGTTAAGATTTATATCCACTCACCTCAAAACTCCTCGATCCAATAAGTAGGCTCCAGTCCAATTTATACCCGTCAAACAATCGATTCTACAAAAATTAGTGCATTTTAATTAATTTTAAAGTTTCACACCTAAACATTGAACTTGTTGTTGATACAGAGGAAGAAGGAATTTAACTATCCAATTCTTCTATTGTAGGATAAATGAGAATATAAAATTTTATATACCGGCGTTCAAGAACGAGTTATTTGTAAAGAAGCCTAGAATTTTCGTTGTCTGTGTGAATAGTTCGCTGACTTGCTGCCTCTGTTTCTTGAGCAAACAGAATGTCCAATTCTATCTTCGTATAAGGCTTTTACGCCTTTTGCCTTCCAAGAGCCCTTTATGGGCTTTAGGCTTGTCACGTGGTCTCCTTTTTTGTTTTCTCTTTTTTTTTTTACTTAACTAGTATTTAATTATTCCCACTGTTGATAATTAATAATATTAAAATTATTAATATTCCTCTAATTGTATATTTAATTATTTATAAATAGAGAAGTAACTCAAAAGTCAATCACAAGGGTTTAAATCCGTCATAAAAGTATAATTTTTATGCACTCAAGGCAAGATTAAAAAAAATTAAATTCTATATTTAGTGTGTGTTGAAACCTTTATAGATTTGAGGAGTGGTACAGGAACCGACGTTTGCTCCCGAGCTAAATGGACACAACTTGGGGGAGGAGGAGTCGGGATACTATCCGGTACCAAGATATTTCCAAGTACCGGAAGAAACGGACGCAACCAAATCCATTGCAGAAGAACTCGAGCATATCACATTGTTTGAGAAATTCTTGGAGAGGAAGTTCCACTTGGGGACAGGACTAAACCCCTAAGTCAGGTCAGAATTTATAGAATTTCTTAAATTTAACGTTGAATGTTTTGCGTCGTCGCATGCAGATATGACAGGTATTCCGCCAGAAGTGGCCATGCACAAGCTAAGTCTGGATCCTAACATCCCTCCGGTAAGGCAGAAAAAATGCCCTATTGCCGAGGTCAGAAATAAATTCGTCAAAGAAGAGGTAACTCGTTTGCTTGAGATCGGTTCAATCTGGGAGGTAAAATATCCTGACTGGCTAGCTAAGATAGTAGTATTTTTAAAGAAGAATAATAAATTTCGCATGTGCATAGACTATGAGGATCTAAATAAGGCGTACTCAAAAGATACATTCCCATTGCCAAATATTGATCAAATGATTGATGCAACGGCCAGGCATGAGTTGATGAATTTCTTCGATGCTTACTCTGGGTACAATCAAATCAAGATGAACCCGAAGGATCAAGAAAAAACTTCGTTCATAACAAACTTCGGCACATATTGCTATAATATGACGCCTTTCGGGCTTAAGAACGCCGGAGCCACTTATCAGAGGCTTGTAAATAAAATGTTTGAGAAACAAATAGGGAAAACCATGGAAGTTTACATAAATAATATGTTGGTTAAGTCTTTGAATACAAGTGATCATCTTAAACACCTGCAAGAAACCTTTGACATCCTAAGGAAGTACAACATGAAGCTTAACCCCAAAACGTGTGCATTCGGAGTCAGCTCCGGTAAGTTCTTGGGGTTCCTGGTGTCACAAAGGGGGATCGAAGTCAATCCCGATAAAATTAAAGCCATCGAGGATATCCCTAACCATCTATCAAATGTGAAAGAGGTTCAAAGGTTGAAAGGAAGACTGACCGCTTTAAGTAGATTCATTTTCCGGTCTTCGAAAAAATGTCATCACTTCTTTTCTCTTCTCAAAAAGAAGAATAACTTCAAATGGACTCCGGAATTCCAGCAAGCTCTGAAGGATTTGAAAAGGTATTTATCGAGCCCTCCAATATTGTCAAAACCGGAGGAGGGTGAAAATTGTTGATTTACTTAGAGGTCTTGGAGGTAGCAGTAAGTGCCATTTTAATTTGTGAGGATGAAGGTACGCAATCTCCTATCTATTATGTTAGTAAAATTTTAACGGGAGCGTAAACTCGCTACCCACATCTCAAAAAATTGGCCTTAGCTCTCGTAGTCTCCGCTCGAAAGCTTGGGCCTTATTTCTAATGACATCTGATAGCCATAGTGACAACGTTTCCCCTGCGTTATATCCTTCACAAACCTGAACTTTCAGGTCGACCTAAGTGGCAGTCGAAATGAGTGAATTTGCATAGAATATAAACCTAGAACTGCGATTAAGTCATAAGTTTTGGCCTACTTTGTGGCCTTTTTTAGTAGAGGACTGCTGCCGTTAGCTACCAAAGAAGCAATGATGGTGTCAGAATCGACATCGGGAGTTTGGACCTTGTTCACTGATGGAGCTTCCAATGTAAAAGGGCCCGAGCTCGGTGTAGTACTAATCATGCCTTAGGAAGAAACCTCAAGGCATGCCATACGAACTGTTCTTTTGACTAACAATGAAGCCAAGTATAAGGCTTTGATTGCAGGACTCGAGCTGGCCCGAGGACTAGACTCTGAGGTTATAGAAATCAAATGTGATTCTCAACTGGTAGTAAATCAGGTCTACAGAATCTTCGAAGCCTAAGAGGAACGCATGCAATAGTATGTAGTGAAAGTCCAGGCTCTGCTCGCACGGTTCAGGGAATGGTCATATACCGACATCCCGAGGGAAGAAAATGCAGTAGCAGGCGCACTAACCAATCTGGGATCGTCCACAAAAATGAATGGATCAGACTTCAGTACGGTCTTGCAGCTTATGCATTCGGTATTGGACGTGGACAGCTATTACAGAATAACCGCTACCAATTTGGTCTGGTATTGGAGGAATGAAATCATTGAGTATCTCGAGCACGAAAAGCTACCCGAAGATCCCAAGGCATCCAGAGCATTGCGTACTAAAGTATCCCGATACTGCTTCAGGGGAGGTCAATTGTATAGAAAATATTTTCAAGGC